AACGTCAAGAGAATAATATCGGGTCTTCAGGTTAAGAAGGAAATGGACCAGGTGAGAGCATCAAAACACAGTTATTTGCTTATTCTTTCTCTATTGTGCTCTAAGAAGACATCTGAAGACATCCAAAGAAGAAATTTCGTCATGGATCTCATCGTCAGATTCAGATTCTGACAGCTCTATTGAGTCTCGCAGTTGCCTCTATTTTTCAGAACATGGCAACAGGAGTCAGTGTAGAGATATTCCAGGCTTTGAGACAATGTCACCTGATGTGACATTGATCATTTTCCAGCATTTGAGTATTCAAGAAATATCGTCTGTTTCTCAAGTCTGCAAAGCAACGTTTGCAGCAAGCCGCAACCCTGACCTGTGGAAAATGAAGTTTCGATCACGTTGGAACTTTAGAGTATCTGGAAACGATGTAGACTGGTTTCTTACATTCGTGAGTGCCTATCGCCATTGCCATGACTTGTGGGTGACACATTGGAATGTTGTCTATCCCTGTGATGCCCTATCTCCTGGCCGTTGTTGCATCCAGCGACATGATACATTCAGTGACAAGACCGAAGACAAGAAATTTAGCAGTCAACAAACACTATCTCCATTTCATCGTTTCGATGACCCGAAAGAAGCGTGTAACATACCCGATGTGGTAGAAACAAGAGCTCAAGCCATAGGGGTAGCAACTGCGCTTCGACTGCGACAGCATTCAGAGTTGAACATAACTGAGTACTCGTCTAAGCGAGCAAGACGTACATTTTCGAGGTCTTCAACGATGGATAGGAGAATTTCAGCTCAGCAATTCGACGTTCAATCACTCAGCTTTCTTACGGACGTTCTATTCTTCAATGTGCACTCAAATCCTGACGAACTATTGCAACTGGAAGAAAGGTTCTCAAAGTCAGAGCCAATAGACATTGACGACTCTGAGAAGTGCTTGCACAGTTGGCATCTAGTTCATTTCTCGAATCCAGATTTCAATAAACCGATGAGATGGCGTGTTGCAGTGCAAAGGCCTGATTGTTTTACAGTCTATCCATCTGAAGGATACTTGCAGCCTGGGGAATCTCAAGTGGTTGTATTTGGTGTTACGCCTTCTGCTTCACTCCTGGTTCAGTCAAAATTCCAGCTTGTTAGCGAGTGTATCAATTTGGATACTCACTCTGGTAAGCAGGAAGCTTCTTCGTCCCACAACATGCCGCGAAACCCCTTCCAGATTCAATATCAGTATGTGACGCCCATTCCTTGTAACATGTTTCACTGTGGACGTGGTCATCGCACTCAACTCTCCCAGCAGAATCTCCATCCCAAACTGCGAAGTATTTGGGACGACCTGTCAGCATCACATCTCGGTATTCGAACTTTGAATATATCAGCTCATGTTCACAGTTCCTTTCCACTTTGTGAGTTCCGAAGGAACACTCTTTTTCCTCCTTTCGACTTAAGCTCGTCTTGCAATAGACTTCATCTATTTTGCGCCCCCAGACTAATGTATTTGGATCCCACAAGCTGGAGGGATCTAGAAAATATTTCGATGGAAGTTGAAGAATCTGTAAGGGGCAAAATTTATCGGACAGAAGGCCCCTGTACCAATTCGGGCCTTTTCTGGGGTGAAAGGCTTGAAGAATTGGCCAATGCGTTTGTTGTCGAGAAAATAAACTGTGAAATCCAAAAAGATAGACGCAATAAGAAAACGAAGCTGTCGGGAGAATTAATCAGAATGCTGATTGATCATAAGGAAAAGAGTCTTTCTGATGAAACTATCGAGTCAGCCTTCTCCGTGTTTAAAAAGATGATCATGGAGTACCAAGATGCCAGGTGGTTGTCACGAAGGCAGTTTAAAGTCTTCGCCGAATGGAAGTCAGTCATTCATCAAATCAGCAAGGAAACAGGAAACGACAGCCCCTCCTTGGCACTTGAAGACACCCCAACACAAAGTGAGGTGCGCCAGAGTAAAGGTGCAAAACGACAATTGGATTTGACTTCAGGAGAGCGATACGCTAGTTTTATGGATGGATTCGAAGGGAACCCAATCCATGGTCTCAAATTGGCAGCCAAGATCATTTCTGATCCCAAGACGGTTGCGTCGCTTGGGGTATACGAAAGGATAAGGTACCCGGGAACACTCTGTAGACGCTCACAAATCCCCTGCCTCCCAGATTTGATTGTTCCAAATCTCCGAATGCCCAAGATGAAACTCAAGGCACTTATATTTTCGCGGCAGAAATTGGAGTATTTCAAGGCGAACAATGCCCTAGACTTGGAAGCCCTGTGTTTCGTGGATAGCTTTTGTCGACATCACGCAGCCAACCATTGCATGAACGAATTGTCTCCACCAGAATTTCTGGGATGCACAAAGCCTCCTGAACCAGATGAAATATCCGCTTGTTCGAAAACTGAAAGTGAAGAGCGCAAGGATAGTAACAATGCTCATACTGCTACAGCCCCAGAAACCAGGGGTACGGAGGAGCAGCCGCGCAATAACGCTATGGCAGTACAGCGAAACGGTGGACATCGAAGGATTCCAAGACTGCTACGATTGTTCGTCTATCTATCAACTCGTCTAGGTTTGTTCGCGGAAAATGCAACAAACGTTTCTCCAAGGTTCATCGATCGACGGGTTTTGATCAGCATTCATTGGATATCGATCTCTTGGATGGCCGTGCCTCTGGTTTCAACATTATTCGCCCGTTACGTCATGCTGGTCCCTTCAACTCCAGTTGACTATAGTCTTGAAGGCTTGCCATTCAGCGTCGAAAATAAACTCAGGTATGGCAACAATCGCATGCTAGTTGCTTGTCTACTGGTTCTAACATTGTCACCTTCTCATTTCAACAGATATCTTACAGAGCACGAGTGCGGATATGCCGCATTTGCTGTCGCCATTGTATGGCTGGTTCTTGGTCGCTGGATTGAACGCTACACTGGTCGCAGCTATCTTCGAGGCATGCTGGAGCATCAGTTGACAATTGACAAATCTAGCAAGTCTTTCTACGTGAAACGCTTTCAAAGATGGTACATGAGGGTGTGGGATACAATTTGCCCCCTCTTCCTGCAGCGATTGGTTTTTTTGGTACCTTGGAATCGCCGAAAGCCAAATGATGTTATGAAGCATGCCGTTTTCTGGCGTGGTCTAGTATCACTGGAACAGCAGTAAGTGTCATAACCTGTTTTCATCTGTTCTCAGAATTTACCAGCTGACGTGCTCCTTAGAACTACATTCGACGCTAGAAAGGGCCATTCACCAATCCTGCTGACATGCGGTGACCCAAAAATAGACATTGGAGAAGAATCAAACGGTTGCAAGGCATTTGTGGGCATTCTTGTTGCATTTGGTTCATTTTGGATTTCAAGTCCTCACATTTTGCTAAATGCAATGAGTATCTTCACGACTGGCATGAGCTTGGGAGTGGGCATTTCACTTCAGCCAATGGAAGTTGGGCGAGATGAGCTAACATATCGAAAAACTGGTTCGTTTTTAAAGACAGTCAATATGACCACCGTGGTTCAATTGAGCTGTTTAGTGGGTCAGGTAAGTTGGTTGTCTTTAATAGCGTCTACATTGCTTTTCCCATATCTCACAGTCTAATCTTGTGACCCCAATCCTATACGCAGATGGTTGGTAGCTCTGGGGGCATTCTGTTCTTAGCTGAGTTCATTGTGACTTCAGTTAGCATACTTCTGGGTGGTGCTGGCACCATGTCTATTGACACGATGCAATCATGGTTTACGTTTGTTTTTTATTCAACCTTTGCTGCGTTTGGCTATGCCATTGGTAGAGCAGCTATCGAACGAGGAATCAAGCAGCAAAAGCACTGTCGATCGTTGATATTTTTATTCGTATCAATTTGCTTAGCATCTTGCGCTGTCTGCATTCCCTGGGAGTTCCCAGTGCCGTTGATCATTCATCGACCCGCAATCGGGAATCGATCTGAGCAGGGAAGCATATACAGCGCAAAACACTTGCAGTGATTGGTTCAAAAGCAGTGTAGTAGAGAGCATTTATCAATTGATTAAATTGTGTCAACGTTCTACTTTAAGTTTCTCCCTTGAACGGATTGGCCTTCAAGTGAGACAGTCCATTTCCAATGGCGTGTGTATATTTCACGGTGGAAATCATATTTTGCCAAACGTAGGGATAGTAAGTATATCGCACGCCATGCTTTTCACAAATCTCTCGCACCTTGGGAGCGATGGAGGGGTACCATGCCGAGCTCATGCGGGGGAACAAGTGATGCTCCACTTGAAAGTTGAGTCCACCGGTGAGAGCTCCCGCAATGGCACCCCCGTAGGTGGAGGAAGTCTCAACTTGAGACTTGTACCAGCAGGCTGCTTCTCCCTTTGTTCTCATCGACGCAGTGGGATCGCGTTCGACATTTTCAAAATTGTGACTCAGAGTAAAGAGCATCCCTAGAGTAAGAGATCCAGCAACGCCCATGATGTAAATGTGGCCAACTGTCGCCCACGAAAAGTCGAGATAAAGCGGGATCCACAGATTCGTAATGTGGTAAATGATACGCATGGCCAAGGCATATTTTCCCTTGTTGGCGACCCAAGGGTTGGGAAAAGTAAAACCAACAGCTCCAGCACCACTGTCCTGCAACCGATACACTTCACCAAAGCAGAAAACAGATGATAGCCAATAGGCTGAAACGACAAGAATCATGTAAAAGCCCTGGTAGGCATGGAACGCCTTGCGCTTGTCGCTGTTTATACCATAGTCATTGAATAGAAGAAATGGTTCCGCACCGATACCGTCAGGGTCATGCTTATGATTGGTGTATACATGGTGGAGCTTGAGAAGCAAACGTCGTTAGCCATTGTTTGCAAGAGAAAGAAATTCACGGAAAGTACTTACCCAGTGTTTCTCCATCCAGAGGAACTTGCAACCTCCAATGAAGTCGGCTCCCCAGCCGAGCAAGTCATTGATCCACGTCTTTCTAGATGCAGCACCATGGTTGGCATCGTGTTGAACATTGAGTCCAATGAGGGCGTGCGCAACACCGTAGGCAATGGCCAATGGAAGTGAGGTGCCCTGAGTCACCCACAAGAATTGAAAGGTAAAGAAGAGGGCAATGTAAAAGATCGCTCGGGCAAAGTAGCCAGTAGTGCCGAATTCTTTCCCCCTTCGAACGATTTTGAATACTTCCCGCTTGAGTTCTCTGGAAAACTCACTGTCGAACTTGTATTCATTGGTATAATCTGGGACAGTCCCCACTTTCTTAAGTCTTTCCAAGTGTTTGGAAGTGTGGTATGGATGAATCATTTCGTAATGATTAGATACGTCGGAACCACCAAATATGTAAATCGTCTCGCCACCTGGGTGATCAAAGTCTTGAATGTCGTAAATGACTCCATGGATAACAACTTCGTTGGGTCGAATGCTCTTCAATGTGGCAGTGCGATCTTGGGTCGCATTGCTGTCATTATTGTCGCTGGTTCGAAGGGATGTTCCAATTTTACGCTGCCTCAGTTGATCCTTATCTGGTGCCATGCTTTCGATCTGCTACAGTATAGCACCGTATACGATACAATCTGGCACTCTGTTGGGTTCAAACAACCAAGAGACAAGACGCTGCAGTGGATGCCAACTGCCAAAATTAACAGAAATAAGCCACGTCGTCGGAAGAAAATGAAGGAATCAGGAACTTAACCATTTCAATATATTTTTTAAAAAAAAGAGAAAGAATATCGATATCTGGCAAGAAGTGCTCTAGTTGCAATCGAAGTAGTCACTTTTCTTCTCACTTCACTCTGTAAGATTATTCCCAACTCACCTAGGCGTTATTGCACTGACTGCAAGCAGGAAATAAGCTTTCTTTCCCTTGCATCTCCTTGGCATTTCTCCACCGTTTGTGCATGTTCAAGGAAGGAAATAGCCAAATTGAGTTAATACCTTCGAAATCAATAAGTTTAAGATCAACAAGCCATCCTCCAAGAGACCTGCAAAATGGGAATCAAATCACAGCTTTCTCACATACTTTCCGTTTCGGAGGCATGTGATATCCTTGGCGAAAACAAATGTGCTCGCATTGTCCGCACTCTAATTCAACTGACGCAGCAACCACCTCCTCACAAAATGCCAACGGATGAAGACATCAACTTTCTGATACGTGCCATGATGTACCGAGTCAATTCACAAAAGCAACAACAGCAACGCAAAGAGAAGCAAGAACATCGGTTGTCACATTACGAAAAGTATCAGCAACACCAACAGCAGCAACACCAACAACAGACCCAATCTTGGTCAGATTCCATAACGTCTTCCTTTGACTCCAATGGACTTTCCTCCAGTGCGACAAACTCAACAGAACCGTTGTCACCACCCCCGCCGCCCCCGATCAAAGACGTCTGGGTTCGCCTCACGACTCGGGCCTGGATGTTGGACAAGCTGACCTTGATCAAATTTCTAGTGCCCTCCAATACGCAGCCTCATCCAGGGGCTGGAGGACATATGGGTCTGTTTGACTGCCTTGCATATGCGTTGCAAACTAAGCACAAAAATGTAGCTTCGGCTTCGTTCGGTGGGACTACCAGTCCAGCTCTAGCAGGGATACCGGATATTATCGTCTTTTTGGCCATTTGTGAGCGGTATTATCAGTTGCATAGAAACAAACCAGAACCCAGTCCAATGGACAAGGCAGACAACGAGACCAAAGAAAAGGGAGAAGAACAACAAACGGAAGTTGAGAACTTGTCGAGCGACCATCCGGCAATACAACAAATGAGTCTATTGATGTTCATCGTTTATGATTCCTATCAGAAAAAGAACCATATCCAACGGGATACCCTACGTCGATTCCTTTCGGATGTGTATGGTGAAAATTGTCACAAAGGCGAACCAATGAAATCATTGTTGGACAAGATATTCTCGGCTCCGTCTCTGACTGATCGCGAATTCGTACGGGGAATCCAAAAGACCATTACCTTTCAATCAAATCGTCCGGTGCACTTTTTGCTGGATTGGATGGCAACTTTGGCACATGGACTGTTGCCGTTGCACCCAAAACTGCCGAAATCGACCAACGATTTTCTGATAAGCATGGAAAACCAAGTACGCTGGTTGCCACAATTGTTGCACGAATACGATTTGGCCGAACATCGACTGTACGATATAAAACGGAAGTTCCATTCCCTTGTGGAGACATCATCGACTTTGATTCATGGTGATCCCATGAAGAATGTGGATGATTGTGGTAGTAGCAACAGCAACAGTGGTACTACTACCAACAACAATGAGACCCATTCATCCGCACAAACTCCCAAGCATGCCATCCCCAAAGCGGTCTTTGAAACGGCTGTCTGTCAAGGCAGTGATGAACTGGGACACGGGGGATACCTGCCACCAAAGGTTGCCAACCTAGTCTTTCGGGCTGTTGCACGCATGTCAGCCTCCTCATCAACTTTGGAGCTACCGCCTTTGCCAGCGCCGCTGCAAGAGGAAGACGAAGAATCGAGCAAGCTTCCACTGTTTTGGGAGCTGTCCCATGTCTTGCGATTTGGTGGCCTCTGCGTTCGAGTAGTGGGGGACGAAGACGAATCTATCGTACAATGGTTGATGCAAGTGGTGGGATCACCACCTTCAACTATCCTGACTCGTTTTCAAGTGGGAAAATTGCTATCTCTCTTAGGAGAGCACTTCGAGTTTCGTCAACGAGTGGATCGGTCGTCTTGGGATGATGATGACGAGACCGATAGTCATGACAATGAAGGTAGTGATAGTACCAAAAAAGAATCTGCAATGAGCGGAAGAACAGAATATATGCAAGTTGAAACAGCTGCAAAGCTTGGTCTGCTACCGACAGCTTGGAAGAAAAATGGTCAGGACACAGTGAGGATAGGCGTATTGGTTGATGCGTTGATGGAAGAGGTTGGGGCAACAGATGAGAGTTTGACGATGCAACAACTACTGGCGTGGCACAAAGTGTCATTCTCGGATGGATCGCAACAACGGTTGATACCTTTCATCATGGAGCTACGACTCATGATGAGTGTTTTATTCGGTGTTCCACCCAAACTTGCCAGTATGGAAGCTCGCATCGTGGCAGAGATCACCCGACGCCACAGATTGCGGTATCCCCAAACGGATCTGAGTCGACGCGGCCCAAGAGGAACGGTATGGTATCTCATTGACGATCATTGGTTCCAAACGTGGCAAAAGGTAGTAGAGAAAATCAGCCATACCGCAGATGATGACAAAGACTTTCGGGGTAAAGGCAACGAGACTATATCTCCAAGAAGGCTCAGCAAGATTTCAAATAAGGGACTTCTTCGAGATAATGGCATTTTGGCGTTACGGGTGGATATAAAGTGGCGTAGCGAGTATGAAATCTTACCCCCGTTGGCGTGGTTAGCCTTGCAAGGATGGTACGATGGTGGCCCTCCAATTTACCGAAGTGTGGTCCCGTATGTTCCAGCAATTCTGACTCACGGACACGTCAAAAAGGATGTCATCAAGACCGAAAATGAGATTGAACTTTATCCCTTCTTCGTTACCATGTTTCTATGTGACTCCACGTCGCGAGGAGAAGCGCGCCCATTTCAACAGGGTGTTCCCGTAAGCCGCGTCAACCCAGTCCGCTTCCTTCTGGTGCAACTTTGCAAACGTTTGGAAATTGACCCGAAGATGGGAAGACTATGGGTAATAGAGCCATCGAATATAGGTAGTGCTGCAACGCAACAAGGGGTGTCGGAAGACTGGATATTGGATCCTGATGTGAATATTGCAGACCAAAGGAAGCAGCGGTATGGTGATCAAGCTAGTGCATCCAACATTACCTTGTTACTCGAACTGAAGGACGAAGAGTCGGGATTATGGCCACGAGGGATAGATGGGAAGCAGTGGTCCTTTGAAAAAAGTGATCTTGGTGCAGTTGAAAACGGAGACGGAGTGGTCGGGTTGTACAATATGGGGAATACGTGCTATATGAATGCTTCAATTCAGTGCTTGAGCCATACTCCTATTTTCCGAGATTATTTCAATTCGAAGTGTTACTTGAATGATATCAACACCACAAATCCACTAGGATACGAAGGGCGATTGGCTCAAGTATCCGCTGTTTTGTTCAACGCCATATGGAAACGGTTCAATCAACAAGTGCCCCACCAACCGAAACGCGTGACTGCACCAGGGTCGTATGCGCCGGTTAGTGCCCCTGCGATCACACCAAAGACATTCAAAGACTCTCTGGGAAAATTCAATGAAATTTTCTCAGGTAACGAGCAACACGATGCACAAGAACTGCTAGCGTTCATCCTCGCAGGGTTATCAGAAGATTTGAATAGAATCCAAGACAAACCGTACATCGAAGCTCCAGATTCTGATGGTCGTCCTGACCAAGAGTTGGCAGATATTTGGTGGTCGAATCATTTGCAGCGGGAGATGTCGATTGTTGTGGCGTTCTTCACTGGTCAATACAAGAGTTTGTTGAAATGCAAATCCTGTGGTTACGAAAGTGCACGGTTTGAGCCTTTTTCTTTCTTGCAAGTTCCACTACCCGAGGATGATACCATTCCTGTATCGCTAGTTCTGTATCCTCTCAAAGATAGACCCAACGCTCTCAAATATAGCGTCCGAGTACACAACACCGGTAGCCTATACGATGTTTTGGTTGCGCTAGCAAAAGTAACGTACGAAGACGAGAAAGGGTCGTCAGCTGATGCAACGAAAGTAAATAGTCTCGAAGGCGACGAAAACGATGAGAAAGAGGAAGGGAAGAAGGAACGGCTCGACAAGGAATATGCTGACCGAGCGAAGAATTTTGCTGTAGTCGATATGAAGGATGATTATATCTTCAGAATCGCATCTGTAAGTTTTGCGTACGACTGTGCCAGACCAACATGATTTGTTTCCCAACATGTTCTCGTACAATATAAGAATTCATGGCGATTGCCTGATTTGCAAAACAAGGATACAGGTGAATTACCCCTGCTGCATGTGTACTCGTTAGATCCTGCGCCTGGTCTCGATGGATCAAACAGCGATGATAAACATGGAAAGGAGAAAGAGCCAAACACGGGGGCAGAAGAAACGAACAAGTGCAAGAATGATGACGCACCTGCTGTTTCATTCTTGGCCCTTGCACAACGGCGTTCGGAGCTTGTGTCAAAGAATGTGCTCCATCCGCTTCGTCATTTTGTTTTTGGAACACCTCTACTCTTGAGAGTACCTCATGTCGATGAACTCACAGGGACGGAAGTCTACGACTTTGTTGCTGAACGCTTATGGGGCTTTGTTCCACCACCAGCGCAAAGGTTTTTGGCAAAGTCGAAAGCCGCAACGCCCGACGAAAGATTAGCGACCGAGTCGAACATACAGACGAAAACTGACGTCCAATCCAAGATTGAGAGACGGAAGAAGCTGCACAAAACTCTATCTGATATGGAGGGCGTAGCATCTGGTCCTATGCCACGCTACGGTTTTCGCCTGCGCTTTGCTTCCCGTGATGGACGTCGATGTTCACTTTGTCCTTGGTTCGAATGTTGTATTGGATGCTTAATTCCAGATGATGACACTCGAACTGTTGTGATGTGCGGAGATAGTATTGTTATCGATTGGCACTTTTCCGTAGATGTCGCGACGAACGGGTTTGGGACCAGAGGGGCTCATGTGGACGGAAATAGAAAGCCTAGATTTCGTCCACGTCCGGCTGGCATTACTATAAAGAATCACAGTTCTTGCTCCAGGAATTTTAAGGAAGGACACCCAGGAGCAATCACACTGGAAGATTGCCTCGATGCATTTGCAAAGGAGGAGAAAATACCAGACACTTACTGTTCCCAATGCTTGGACTTCCGCATCCAAACGAAACGCATGAGCCTTTGGCGGACACCACCGGTTGTCATCATTCAATTGAAGCGGTTCCAATTCACCCAGTTCATGCGAAGGAAGCTTCGAGACTTTGTTCATTTTCCTGTAGAGGGTTTGGATTTATCTCGAATCATGGCGGGAGATGTCGACGAACGCTCGACAACACGAAATACCAATGAAACCAAAAGCGACGAACCACAGGTAACATCAAAGGACTCGGACACTTCACCGATGCATGAAGATAATGGACGAGCAGAAATGCTGTACGACCTTTACGGAGTTGTCCACCACCAAGGGGCGCTATCTGGAGGCCACTACGTTGCTTCGCTGAAATCTGACCTCGATGGCCAATGGCGGCTTTTTAATGATGCCCAGGTCTATGAAATACACAGCAGCGACGTGGTTGACTCCTCAGCCTACATTCTCTTTTACATTCGCCGTGATGTAAAAAATATGAAACTTTCTGATTTCTGGGACGTGAGTCGTGGCGAGGCATCACGCATGACTGAAGAAGAAATGGACTCATTACTCCATGGCGGGTCAGAGAGGTGTGCAATAAGCTAAGACAAGTTATCCCAAGAATGTAGATTTACTACACTAGCAATTGCGGGAAAGAGTATGTAGTGGAAGTGGAGCGGTTTTAGGTACACTAGCATTGAAGGATCACCAGCAGGATACATGGGAGGAGACTCATTTGGCCCCAGGTGCCAGCTATAATCGTACCACCCCTGGTCCACCTCTCTGTCCTAGAGCATCCTTCTACACGACATCGTCATTCATGTACGTTTAGTATTCCGGGGTAAAATTAGAGGGGAGGGGTAATAAGAAGGAGCGTGTCACAATCCATAACCCCATGACAACGCAAGATGATGCCTTATTTTTTACAAATGCAATGAAGAATTCAGGAAGACTGACAAGCAAGCAAGCCGACGACAATGATAGACGGAAAAGAATGACCCAACAGCGTCAAGCTCTTTCGAGCAGGATTCGAAAACAAAAGAAATCCGAATACCTTGCCAACAAAAGGAGCATAGGACACTTGACAAGCACGCCCTACAGCCCATCCAAGGGCTTCACCAGTGATGTAATGAAATTATACATTCGGAATCCATCCGTGGGCACTCTACAAGCTGTTTTTCAGTCTCTACCTGCAACAGCAGAGAAATTAAAAGCAGAGGCCAGCAAGCCTTTGCTGTTTTTTTCAACCAACGAAGAAGAGATCGCAGAAAAATTTGTCGTGAAGCTGGGAACTCATGCTGCTCCTTATAGAACACAGCACTCTTTGTGCCTGAACATACTGCAAAAGCTATCTGCGATCTCGTCTACCTCGATCTTTTTGGAAGAAGACTACTACGGAAATTCATGCAGTTGGAGTGTCTTGATCGCGGACGAAGCAAGCCTCGTTTCGTTGGTGATGGACAATGTTGGGAAGTACGAGTCCTGCCTTTTGGTTTTGGGAAATCTAGCGAGTGATCCATCTTCTCACGTTTGTCCAAAATTGAGACAAGCTGGATTGGTTGATACACTTGTGTCCTGCATTCAACAACCGACAGCAGCATGGGCTTTGACCAATGCAATTCGGCACGATTCAAGTGCCTATGCATCAGAATACTGCGCGGAAAACTTGTTATCAGCTTCTATGCTAGAATCCATGCTTCAGTCTAATTCAGTGGCAACTCAAGCTGCCTGGATGGCGGCTTCAATTTTGGATCGCGAAAAAGAAACAGTTCAGTACTTGGTGTCACATCCATCATTTTGCAACACCTTGGTCTCGCTAATACAGCGTCCCAATGCCCCCAACCAACTGGTCCCATTATTACAATCGTTGGGTTCTATTGCAAGCTATGAAGCTAATGTACCAATTTTGCTTGGGATACCTTCTTTCTTGCCTACTATTGTCGAGCTTTTGCAACCTCCCCTAAGCGACAGGGAAGTCTTCCAAAAGACTGTTTGGCTTGCAGGCTGTCTACTAGTTGATTCGAGATTGGAAAACCACCCTTCTTCAATACAGGCCACTCCTGCTTTGGTTCCGACCCTTTTCGAATATATGCGCTCTGAATTATTATCATCAACCGAGAAGCAGGATGTTGGATTCGCCCTTTTGAATGCCATGGACGTACCACCATCTTGTGACTTAAAGCCCAACATGTCATACATGCCATTCTTTTTGCCGGATCCACCTATAGTGAAGGGAGCGATTCTAAACGGAATCGTTGGTTTAGTCAAATCATCGGATGCTGATGCTGCAGTCACAGGAGTCCATATATTGCGATTGTTGCTTCGACAAGAAGGAGATTTCTTTATGGAGACATTGGAAGAAGCAAATGTCCAGTCGGCGCTGGAGGCGTTATGCAACTCTGATGTAGATTTTGAGACGTCTGAAGTGGCAGCTGATATCCTTGATGACTTCTTCTATTTGCACGAGCTTGAAGACGATGTGAACATGGCCCCAACCAGAAAGAACGATGGCACGCTTGCATTTGGTCTACCCGATTTTACAATGAGTCCAAGTGGCGGAGAGCCCCATTTGGGAATGGGGCGAGGAAGGGGGGCTGTCATGCCATCTTGGATGACGAAAACTTAAAATGCTGGTACTGATAGTAATGGTACCAGGTACAGGGTGGTACCCCCAGCCCCCCAAGTTCAAAGTTCAAATAGGAATACATGTACTTCTTTAGCGTTTTGTAAAAAGTGCTTGCTCGAGCTCGTCATTTTGTTGTCGATTAATTCGCTGCTCACAATACGCAACGACATTCATTTTTATTGTCCAGGTTGCAGAATAAAGATGGAAAGCCCGTTTCGTAGTCAAACAGCAAGTCCTCAACCGACGATGCGGCAAGCAGCCGCTTGGAGGGCTTCAGCTGAGAAATCGCAAGCACAAACCCCCGATATGTCACACACGCGGAATTCTTTGGATTCCCCTTTCGCTCCAACGCCACAGAGATATCCACACGACCAAGACTTTGCATCATCTGCACGAAAGGAATGGCGTTTACACAAGAGCGGCATGACGCAAGATCTTGAAGAACGTCGCAATTCTCGGGCACCTGGAACCATAGCTGTGCGGGTGCTGGGGGCCGAAACAAGACAAGACCTTTCGAATCAACCTTACACGACATATATTATGCAGGTAACTCTTGCAAACGGCGACGTAATGCAATTGGAACATCGGTATTCTGAATTCTCCAAATTGAACGAGCTGTTTCGTTCTCACAACATACGATTGGATACCTCTTTTCCATCTAAAAGTCTTGCTGGCAGAATTGGGAATTGGACCCCTTCAATTCAGTTCTTTCCAATCCGAAATCAGGAGCTAATTCAATTCCGAAAGATACAGTTAGATGTTTGGATTGTTCATGTTGTGGAAAAATATAACGAAGGTGATCTACCACACTCTTTGGGAAGGCAGGTTTACGAATTTTTGACTAAATTTAACCAGAAGCCTTGTGATCAGGAGAACAACCATTTACCGAAAGCTGGGAAGTCAAAATTGAACAATCCTCTTAGCTTCACTTTGGGATCTAGTATAAGGCAAGCGACATCAACACTTGAGTATATGGTTCACTTTGAACGAGAGGAGTTGCAGTCGATTCCAATAGATTTGTTGAGATGTGCCAAAGGTCTTTGTTTCTTGACTGTGATCAAGGCAGGTCTAGTAGTTAGCGGTAGAGTGGGGACTGGGCTTTTGACTGCTCGAGTGGGAGAACAAGAATGGAGCGCCCCACTTGCATTGGGGGTAAGTACTAGTCTACAATCTGATATCATCGAATTGAATCAAAATCTGACAATTCTCTCCTGACGAATAGACTCTGGGTCTTGGCTGGGGAATGCTTGCTGGTGGTGATATCACACACTATTTGGTCGTCTTGACCACGATGGAAGCAGTGGAGTCCTTTGTAAACGGAACAGTTCAACTCGGAGCAGAACTCGGCGTTTCTGTGGGACCCTTAGGCAGAAGTGCAACATCACAGGTTGCAGCAAGTCAGACCGATTGGGCAGTGCACCCAGCTTACTCGTACGCGCATTCACAAGGCCTATTTGCTGGAATGAGCTTGGAAGGGTCCATATTGACAGGTATGTGTACTTGCGAGTTCAGCAGTTGGGAACATTCGCGTAGTCTGGTTTACTGACCAAGAATCGCCTGGATTTTTGACGAATAAAGTGCGAAACGATGTCAATGCCAAATTCTACGGCGAACATTTAAAGCCTGAAGAAGTACTGCGGTTGCCCCCACCAAAGGCTGCAGGTGAGTATCACTATCGAGAATGAAATTTGAATGGAAAGTTATGACTGCTCACGACTATTGATCATCCGTTGCTATTGATCTATCCGTTGCTTTTTAAGAACCGCTGTACATGGAGCTCGAGAGAACTATTTCCATAGAAATAGCTGAAGGATCCTTTCGACCGAGCACCCTCTTTCAAGACGCAACATCTGCCAAAACGAAAAATATGAGAGCGACAAAGTCATCGATTCATGACCTGCCAACTGTCAACACGCTAGGCAACACCCCGCCTCACATGGCAAACCATAGTGCTCAGACATATAGCTAGCGAGTTATTTTATTCAAACTATGAGTAAAATTGTGTGTTACAGCTCTACAAGAGATTCGTCATCTAGACCAACGTACGCTCCAATACCCTACAACCACCATATTGTGGGCTCTAGTTTGTCCGGTACGCCTACCGGTATGTGCCAGTGGTAATAATCATTGTTCAACCACCCCAAAAGCACAACTTTTCACAATGCGTGGTGAATAGTGACTGCTTCAGCAGCTAGTGCGGATTAAATTTCCTCGGTGGGGGGCAGGTTTTATTAATGCATCTAGCTATTTTACTGTACCTGTGTATACTTAGTCTATTCCCCGTGTGTGTCCCACTTCGCCGAGAATTAGGTGTAGGTTACTCTTTACAATTTCAAAAGAAAGAACGACTTGATAGATGTGAAGGCGACAGGCGTTGATTTCGAAGTTGGCCGGTGTACGGTAAACATTCGATAGACTGGAGGGAGAGGAAAAAAGACGCTATTGAAGTCCACCTTTACAAAAAGTGGGTATTGACACCACTATAACAGTGCAAACCAGCTCGAGTTGTGATGTTTCCATTTGGGGGACGTGGGCCAAAACGAAACAGCAAAGGCACTGGGTACGCAGGGGACGCCCGAGGGGATGCCGCAAAGCGAAAGAAGCTGCAGGAACATTCACATACAAACGCGAATCACGAGACCAAAATCCAAGGGCTACTTTGCGATCCGGACTTGAATCTTTTTCATCCCAGTCACCAGCAGCAACAGAAGTCCATCGCCTTCCCAGCAATGAATGGTTCAGCACTCTCAAATCAGTACTGCGAAATCAAGCAGATTGGTCCTCTGATCATAAATGCCCCTTGTATCAGCTTGCGTTGGATTGCTGCGAATTCGTCCTTCAGCAATTTCCAAAACAGTTGGGCGACGAAGATGATAGCGAGTCGCTTATAGTCGCCTTATTGGAAATGACATCGACAGCACACGTTGTCTCGAATCACTCTAAGGATTACTCGAGAAAAGTGCTATCATTGGCACAACAAGTATTGAGCTTGAAAGATCGTGCTCTGCAAATCTCTCGAGCTGTGGTCGAGAAAGACGATTTGGTGGTTGTAGACAATCAATATCATTATCGACATGCTCTTCGACCGCTTGCTTTTGATTTTGTAGATAGGCTACAGGGACACTGCTTTGAAAATCAATCTAGTACATCGTCTGCTCAGAGCACGAAGCAACGACAGAGAGTTCTGCGAGAATTGGGGACGTACAAAACTGCTTTACCCGTCGAGAATGGCAGTAGTATCTTTGTCAGGGCAGTAGAAAGCCGAATGGACCTTCTACGGTGTCTCATAATTGGACCAGACGATAGTCCATACGAAAATGGGTGCTTCTTTTTCGATATTCACCTTGCCGGCTATCCTAACTCTCCTCCAAAAGTAAATTTTTTGACTACGGGAGACGGGAAGTATCGATTCAATCCAAACCTCTATAAAGATGGAAAGGTTTGTCTCTCGCTTCTTGGTACTTGGTCAGGACCAGGATGGCAAAGTGGGGAGAGTACACGTACGTTGGTTGAAGTTTGCAGTCTGTTTCAGTTTTTCGTTCCCATGAAATTCTCATCCGTTGCGCTGCAAAGTGCTGCAAGTTTTGGTGTCGATTCAATCATTAATTCTTGTTGAACAGCCCTATTTCAACGAACCAGGTAAGTGTAATGATAAAAAAGATGAATATTCAGCTAGACGCAATGCTAGAAGCGTCAAGACTACCATTTGCCTCAGCCCAGTAATTGATTCAACCGGCACTTAATGTTCATCCAGGTTTTCAGGCGTCAGAAGGAACTCCAAGTGGAATATGCGAATCTGATAAATACAATGAAAACGTAAGGCGCTTCACGCTAGATGCCGCCATTCTGCCCCACCTACGACGTCTCACTGGTGCTTTAGTACCTATGTATCCTGAATTTGATGCTGTCATCGATAAACACTTTGAGCTGAAGGAGCATGCTTTGACGGTGCAACTGTCAAAGTGGCGTAAATACAAGGCCCAAAAAAGCCCCCATGCAGGACTTCCTAGTTACATGAAGCTACATCATGCGAGAACCAGTGGTCCAACTATGGAATCACTATGCATTTCCTGCGTTGCCTGTATGGATAGTTGGCCGAGAAAGCAAAAGGCAAGAAAAAATAGAAGCAACGCATCCTCATCCATGTTACCCGAGGAGAGTAGCAAACAGGCAGTTTCAGTTCAACCCATCCGCGCTGTAGAGGTCAATGGAATCATTGAAATTGATCTAGATGAGGACAATCAAGACCTAGCTGCAACAGCAAATCTACCACAACCACCAAATTCCGAGTCTGATGTTCCAAGACCATCGCAGCCACCAGTGACCCTTGTTTCCAGCCTGAAAGGCTCAACTGCAAAAGTCATCGACTTGACATGATCCGAGCAATCTCGAAATCAAACGAAAGTTTGTTGAATCTTAATGATAGCATTGTAATCCTAGTTGCATTGTAATCCTACTTTAGCTTTATATTACCAGTTCCGATCTGATTGATCATGATTGCGACGTTTCCCGCAGCATTCCGAGCTCTGACAACTTTGAGTCACTGATGTACGGCAGGTACTCTCGCTCATAAGGGAGCTCATATCGCAATGAGCTCATGGCCTCCATCCGTACCTTCTCCTTTTTCAGAGAATGCACAGCTCTCACTTTATACGCAAGTTCAGTAACGTCTTCTACGGATATGATGCTCTGTTGACATAGAATTTCGACAAATCACCAGAAAGGCAGATTTGGATCGCCCTCGTTCTTTTCATTTTCCTCGGTTCCATGCGCTTCCCGTGTCCTTTTGGGCAATCCAAATCCCTCTCGGGGTCCCATTGCACTCGAGCTCTACCACTGCATCGCAATGTTTCTGACTTGTTACCACTATTCGATTCCTTTTTTTCTCCGACAACGAGAACGAGCCTTGATGGAAAAGCCGACAACAAGAGAGCAACATCGCCAAGCTTCCGTGACTCAGTTTGATTTATCAAGATTCGAGATTGCCCACTCTTCATCCCGTGTCCTGATCTATATAACATCCAGGCAAAAGATGGCTTGATCCATGTCATGATCCTGACAGGCTCCCCCCAGTCTCTGATTGAGAATGGCCCAATGTGCAAGCTCCTCATTGTACGCTTGATACACGTATACCCCTTCCTCGTCCCATTCTTCACGAAACGTTGGAAGGCGGTTGTCCTGAGTCGATTTTAGTGACGATGATGATTCGGTCTACATCATTTCAGTTCATATTTGCGAGCTCATTTGAATTTCGCAGAAACCACGCGGATGCACGTTTGGTTCTGCGGCATGAATGAATGAAACGTGGACAATAACAACAAAAATGTACGGTACAGCATAAATACCGGTACGAGTACCATGATACAGTATGTCCTATCACTAGTTTTTAAAAAAATGGTACTGCTGTACGTACTATGGTCTAGGATTCAAAATCTATTAGCATTTGATGATGCTTAGTGGTTTTGCCTTCATCTGGGGTGATCAGCGCTGGAAAAGCGCAGCAATCATTTGTTGGCGGCGATATTGGGTTTGAGCTAGGAAAGCGAGTTCACTTGCAGTTGGTGGAATTGCACCACTCAACATTTGTTCCTGTAAAGTAGTATTTGCTCCGAGGGCAGGTGCTTGGTTCATCAGCATCTGCTGAAGTAAGAGCCTATCTTGGTGAAGCACTGGGAAACTTGATGCCATTGGGAAGGTAGTACCAGCTGCAACGCGTTCATAATATGAGGGGGAAGGTTTCAAGGGTGCATGTACACGGGTAGGCATGTGTGTTAAACTCTGCGGCTCGGCTCGGCGACTCGGAACTCGCTTCGTTTCATTTCCACATGCAGGGTCACTCCTGACTATCAAAGAAGTGCTGCTAGTGATGCGTGCACCTTCCAGAGTTGAGTCAACTGATTTCTCGCAACTATGGATCGACTCCGAATCCGAAACTGAGCTAGCAGCGTTGGAAAGAGTATCGAGAGCCCTTGTATCTTCTTTCGCGCGAAGAGATTCCTTCCATTCTTCAAGTTTAATGACATAACGTTGTCGCTCTTCCTTTGCCATATCGTCAAACTCTTTCTTACTTTCTGGGTCAAGAGATTTCCATCTTCGTCCAATTTCTCTTGCCATTTCAGCAAAGCCAATCTTGCCGTGTGTCTTGCAATGCACTCGCTTCTTGAGTATTTCCATCATCGGAGTTGGAATATCATCTCCAAGCATGGTTGCTCTCTGCTTTCGAAAGAACAAGTTGTAGGCGGAAAGAGGACGATTGGGCTTTCCTTTTGGCTTCTTCCATTTCTTCTTTCCTTGCGTCTCTTTCTTCTGTATCGTCTTCGATGCGGATTTTTTCATCTTTCTGGTGCCGCAGATAGACTTGCTAGCCTTCACCTTTTTCATTGGTAGCGCGTCCCATCCTCGATCTTGGTGGATTCCAGGTGATGCTGTTTGGATACTCTTGCTGATCGCTCGTTCCAGTGGAGACTCGTGAAATGATGGGAAAGCACTAGATTCAATTGGTTGTGGAATATTCATGGAGTTTGTTTCTATTTCCTGTGAAAGTGTTGTTGCTTTGTTTTACGATATATGGCTGTCTCGATACAGTATTTTTGAATTTATGTCGATACTAGTTGGAACGATGATATGATTTTGTGAAACAATTTCATTATTTGTGCATTTTTCTACCAATTCCTATATTTGCTCGCGCATGGTATCCAAGCAAGATCAAACCAAGATTGCGAACTAGAGATTTATGGATTTGTATTTTTTTATTTATGTTACTTTTTCCGATGGACGGTCCAGCGAAAGCGTAAAAGGGTACAACTGTCTTGATAGGAAAAATGTTTCGCTTCTCCTCAAGAATGGAATCTAACGCACTAATACAGTAAATACGCGTACCGGTGGTACGTGTACCTGGTACCGTACACACAGAAAGTAGCACACGACCTAACTGCTTCGACCAAGAATAGCTTCGATTTTAGATTGGGATGACAGACTGACAGACTGATGGTTTATTCAGATCATCGTTCATTTGAGATGAGAGAGCTACTGTAGCATGGACTGTAGCATGGACTGTAGCATGGACTGTAGCATGGACTACCTACAGTACAATAAAGGTAGGTAGGAACCCGCTGTCTCCAACTCGAAAGAAATGAAAAAGAAGAAGTGCAAAGTAAAGTAAAATAATAGGCAGCTCTAGCCCTCATTAAAATAATCCTTTCTGAGAATAAAAAGTAAAAACAATTTCAAGATTCTGCCTTGCCGCTCCAATCCAATTGCCAGACTTTTCTTCGTAATGTAAACCCCCAATCTTGGCAATGATTCGAATCATATTGCTTCATGCCATCTATGGTCTCTGTTGGTTGGGAAAGAAGTTCAATTGGTTCCCGTTTCCTACGTTGTTTGGCTGAAACTGTTGGTTCATTTGCTGCTGTAGCATATCGAGCGACGGGTTGTTTGAAACCGGTGCTTGGGCTGCAACATTGGACATGGCCATCTGATTTTGCAACAGCAATTGCTGCATTTGCAATCGTTCTAATTGCATGCGTTGCTGTGCCACAGTGTTCAACTGCAATTGTTCAGCTAATGACAAGGAGGAAGTAGGTGTCATATCATTTCCACCCGAAACACCTCCCTGGGAAGCAAGTAAGAAGGGATTCAAGTGAGTTGGTTGAGGCTGTTGTTGAGAGAGTAATCCTTGGAATTGTTGGAAAATGGCATTGGCAGATGCTTCTGCAGCGTTTGGATAGGACTTCAAGTTATTGCTGTTGCTGTCAGATCCTAGCTGCTGTTGTGGTTGATGTTGCTGTTGCTGCTGCTGTTGGCCCTGAAGTGCTCGAAGAATATTAATGGTCGACAAATCGGTATTTCCCCGTGTGACATCTTGAAGGAGTGCAAGTCTTTGCTTGGTAGCAGAATCCGCAAAGGCATCCACACCATTTGATTGGTTGGAGTCGTTATGGGCGTTGCTAGCAGCGATAGAGTTTGCCATTTCTTGCTGTTGTTGCTCTTTGACCTTTTGTTGCTCTTTCCATAGAGAAAGTTCCTTGGCGTAACGTTCCTTCTCCTTCGAAGCTTGCTTGACGAAGACCTCCTTGTCCGAGTCTGGGAGGGACTTCCATTTTGAACCAATGGATCGTGCCATTTCGGCAAAGCCAACCTTGCCGTGAGTCTTTCGGTGAATTCGTCTCTTGGCAGAGGCACTGTTGTCGCCAGAAGTCTCAGAAGATTCTTCCACTTCAACTTCCGTGGGGTCTTCTTTCGGAGGGTTGCCATTTCCGAGCATTAGGGCGCGTTCTTGTTGGAAGAACAAGTTGTACGCAGAAAGAGGACGATTTGGTTTATCCTTTGGCTTCTTCCATTTCTTGCGAGGTCGTCGCTTTTTGGTGACAGTTACCTTTTCTTCCACTTCCTTGGAAGAGGCTGAAGAACGATTATTGAGGTTTTCAGTCGTAGCTGGTTTCGCTACTTTCTCCACTTTCTCCGTTGCTTTTTTCGTAGCGAGGATTGGAAACAACCCACCGCTGTTGAGTTTCTTCAAATCATCAAAGCCAGAGCTGGTACTGCTGTCGCCGCCAATGATGCTACTGATCTTGGAGAGATCTGCTTGCTTGGAGATCCCACCGCCTTCGTTGTTGTGCAGCATAGGTGACGTCTGCATTCGATCCGCAAGGGATCCATTACGACCACCAAGCATTGGTGGAACCGAAGGCTCGATGCCATTACCTAGTGAGATGTTCATTCCTATAACACTTTGTATACAAAATGAAATGTGTGTACAAGTAGAGTGGTCTGGTCGTGCCGTTCGTGGAGTTTAAAACAAATAGGTTCTCGACCACGATACAAGCAAGGTATGTGAGAACGTCGGTTTCCTTTCGCACCAGCGAAAAATTGTAAAAGTTATGCCGAGCGTTCAATACTCACCTTCTTCCAAAGGTCCGAAGCAATAAATACCAGATCTTCAGTTTCACTATTTATCGACGTCTAGCATTCACTTATAAGAAAATCGTTCACGGATGGACATAGATGTTTTTAATGCGTCGGAATTGTGTTTATAGAGAGAAACAGTTTTGAAGGTCGATAGATCGTGCCTATAAATAAATTCAATTAGGTATATTTTTAAATTGGTCGAAACGGCAGTTTCGCCGTCTGTCACACGAGGCTTTTGTAAACTTTGCTTGGATACGAGCTGAAGCTTTACGACTAGTACGAACCGATTGCTGGGGCTGTATCCCCTCATTTTTATAAAAGGCCTCATATAAAAAATAAAAGAAAGACTGACTGACTCAAATCCCCCAATTTGAAATTGCCGTGCTTTTCTGCACAAAAACATCTGTCCTTGCAGTGCTGCCACATCCCACACACCACACAACACACAACACACAACACACAACACACAACACACAACACACAACACACAACACACACTTGCAATAACCATATCATGATCTGAAAATAAATGCAGCTACCTAATGTGGCTGAACTCAAGATGATTCGGCAAACCTTTCAGTTCGCAAAGTCCCTTCGATGGGATCGAAACACGACTTCCACTCGAACTCCACCACCAATCTACGACGAGTTGTGGTTTCGTTGGGCCAAAGGTTTGGCACGGCAAAATCATGACAACTCAAATATCGAGACTGTTATCGATATGATTGATTGGAATCGTATTCTAGAGACATTGCAATCAGATTCTTCCCTTGCCAAATATACCGATGACGAGCGACAAGGAATGCACTTGTTGCATTTCGTCTGCGCTTTACACCCGCCTGGTTCCGTGTTGGAGCTTCTCTTGAAAAGCTTTCCAAATGCAATATTTGTGCAGAGCGCAAACTCTGGAATTATTCCATTGATGATTGCTTGTGGATCTAATGCAGCCTCTGAAATCATTGAAACCTTGTTGAAACACGATACCAGTGGAAGTGGTGCTACTCTACGGATTACAGATACTCATGGATTTTCGGCAGTGCACTGGGCTTGTCGAGAGGATGTTTCAAGTCGAGTATTGCAGAAACTGTTGCTCTTTGATCCAATGCTGGCAGAACTAATCGAAACTAATGGGAGTCGGCACAAGATTACTCATGTTTTGTTTCAAGGCGGCCGGAAAGAGATGCTCTCGGACAACCAGGACACCAAGTTGAGATTTTTGCTTCTGGCCCGTTTCAAGCTCCCGCTTGATGAGGCGCATTTTTTGTTTGCGTTACACGCGTCGGTCGCGTTGGAATGTCAATTTCCAGTATGGAATTACCTCCTGGCCGAATGTGCAACGATGGGAGTCGATCGCGATCCATTTGGCAATCTTCCATTACACTACGCTGTGCAACAGAAACAACATAATATCGGCGAACCAACAAAGCAACAATGGTCAAGTTCGCAATTACTCGAACGTGTTTTGAGACTTTCTCCCGAAGCTGCATCAAGCCGAAACAGAGATGGTGAACTTCCACTGTCAGCATCATTGAAGAGTGGTTTCGTTTGGGACAAGGGCATCCAAGCGCTGTTCCATGCGTATCCTGAGGCCAACTGCTTACTTGACCCTGTGACCAAATTACATCCATTTTGTTTGGCAGCAAGTTTTTGCCATGACTTGGCGACTACCTTTATGCTGTTGCGACAGAATCCTGAACATGTTCTTCAAAGGTATGGTAGCAAGTAATGCAGCTCGCCGCTATACTCCAGTTGTGGAGATTGCTTCTGCGCATTTATTTTTATTTACGCTACTATAGCTCAAAAGTGCAATAATGTTCCATGTTGAATCCTGTGCTGTAAACTTATATGATGTTCATTCCCTGCCGGTACCACACTTGGCACAGAAATTTCGATGTGCCCCTTCGCATGTGGACGTGAAAAGTCCGTGCATCCACGTGTACCAGTAGAAACAAGGCATTAATACACGTACACTGGTACCAGTACTGACTGTACTGTAGGGTACGTCCAAAATTCTTTACAGAACGATTCTGATTGACAGCGCAATAGAATCATATTCATCGATTGCTCTCAAAGACAAGTGGTTTGAAGGAGTCAGTCAACACAAGACACGATATTCACGTATCCCTCAATAGATTAGCAGCGCGATCATGAAACGCTCCCATTGCTGTTTCCTGTGGATGTCATTTCTGTCATCTCAAGGACTCGCCTTTGTCCCCCAAACTCTCCCAACGGAATTTGTCACGGCTTTGTTGAAAAGCACCGTGGACCAAGAAGCTGTGGAAACGCCCTTGCTGGAAGACAGAAAAGGACACATCAATCCAGAACTAGCGCAACGTATTTACAAATGGGAGCGAGAGCAACGGCTGAACAAAAATCTGCCACACCTGGAACACTCCACCCGCGACGGTCTTCGGTGGGTTCTAAATTTGGTCAATAAGCTGGATCGCCTCAACCCTAATGCTTCCAACAGCAAAGACAAGCACGAAGATTTGGTTCAGGAGGGAGTTATTGCACTCATGCAAGCCATGACGAATTATGAGGATCAAGCGCGTCCGCAACAATCCTTTGAGTCCTTTGCCAAGCATTCCATTCAAAATGCATTGGAAGATTTCACTTGGGGCGTCAAGACTGCCTCCACAGGCGGACCACAAACCTCAAAGCCGGCGCTGAGTGTAGAAAGTACAGTAGAGATTGCTGATCCGTTAGAGACACATTATTCCAGTCAAGAAGAATGGGAAATCCGAGAACCGGAACAAGACTTTGTGGATTCGTCAGTACGATATGAAGGGGAAGATCAAATGTGGGTTCATCAACAACAAGTAGCGGCGCCCTTAAGAGAAATAATCCCAGACGGCGATGAAGAGGAAGCCTTATTTGATGGGGGTGAAAGTAGTCTCGATGATCTGGCGCTGGCTGATTTGATTCGTTTCGATGTGGATGAATTCTTGGCAACCACATTGGAAGAGATAGAATCCCAAGTGATACAAATGCGATTTGGGCTGGATTCGGTCGATGGCATTCCCAAAACACAGAAAGAAATTGCCTACGAGCTGAGTTTGACGCCGTCCAAGGTCCGAAAACTTCAAAAACAAGCGCTGGACAAACTTCGTGAGGTATATTCGAACAGATACATAAGTCAAGACGACGACGACCATTACTGGCAAGACAGTGTATAATGACGGATCTAAAGCTTGGAATGGAATAAACTACACGTATCTTTCGAATTTAGAACGTTACAATCACAGAAGCACAAAACAAAGCAGCGTCCCGATCACTGTGACAAGAGTTGAGGTCTGCGTACTTCAATCCCAAGCGACACAAAGAATGATTCATACTTAGTTTCTGTATTTCTTGGCCTCTTCCGCTGGAATCTCCTCTACTGTCGCTTCTATCTTGACCTTCTTATCTGGAGTTATGGTCTTCGTGGTGGTCGTGCGAGTTAGATTCCCTTCCTCGTCCCACTCATCCTGTACTTCAACTCGAGTCTCATCCGATTTCTTGGCTGTGGACTGATCCCACTCCTTTGATGGCGGGGCCCAACCTTTGTAGGCACCTCCTCCGCGAAATGGTGCCGGAGCATTGTTGGCCGCTGGTGTGGAGCATTAGAAAGTGGTCAGGACACGGTCGCGCAAGGGCATCGGATTTACAATGATGGATCGAAGTGATGAAGCATGATCGTCAATATGTTTGTTTTTTTTCGACTCACCTGGTGCTGGTTCAGGAGCAGGCGCTGAGGTTGTAAATGTTTATACAGGAGATTTTTAGATCAATTAGTAAACAGCACTGGAAACTCCAAGCAATCTTGAAGAAGGTATTGTCCAGAACATGTTATCGTACCTGGTACGGGTGCTACCGCGGCAACTGGAGCTGGCACCGGTGTCGGAGCAGGAGCTACGGCAAAATAGAACCAAAGCATATGAGACGAAGATGCACAACGCAGTAAAGTAATGATCAAACGCATTATATAAATGTACCTGGTGTTGGAGCGGGGGCAGGAGCTGGCGCTATGAAGTCATAGCAACAGAGAATGGGACAAGTAAGCACAATGCGCAAACAAGTTACTATGAACAATTGAAGAGGAATGTACCTGGTGCTGGAGCTGGTGTCGGTGTTGGAGCTGGAGCCGGATCAGGTGGTGCAATGACTGGAGTCGCAAGCTTTGGAGCAGGTTCAGCTCCGCTATCGCTACTGCAGCAGGCACTTCATTTCAATAAAAAAGCAGGACAGTGTTAGGTTTGTTTGCCGAAAGAGCGACATGATCATTTTTCAAATTAATGAATCCGATCTTCCTCAATGAAAAAGATGCTCCATTCTCGGCGGCGATCAACCTTCGGACCACCTTTCTCGTCCTTACCCCATAATGAAGTACTGTACCGATGAGGAGCTTGAGTCGTCTAATACTTTTGAAACTGTGAAATTTTGGGTTTGAAAAACATCCATCGACTTGTTCGATTGAGTATTATTTCATTCAGTTGAGCTATTTACTGTACCAGTACCAGTTACAAGTACCTGACACCGGTACAGCCATCTTGGCACAGCCCAAGTATTGAAACTTCACTATTGCAATCAATAAGCTGGATTACACCTATTACATCGAACTGAATGGTTTGAAGCGTCTTTTTAAACGTCTGTTGCTTTCTTCTTCTTCTTCTTCTTCTTCTTGGTCTTGTTTTCCTCATTTTCTGATGCCGGTAACTCCTTGAGTTTGGTATCCTTCCTTTGCGAAGCAGGCAATCGCTTGCGGTCCTCGTTATAGACCTCATTCTCATCGTCGCTGTCGCTTTCGAGCTCTTGCGCGGCTGGTAGAGCAAGTAATTCCTCTTTTTTCTTCTTCCCCTTTTTTGGTGCAGGCAGAGCAGGATACTCTTTCTTTCCTTCTTCTGGGGCAGGTAGAGCCAGGAATTCTTCTTTCTCCTCCTCCTCTTCGATGATCAGCTGTCTTTCTCTTCTCAACAAGCATAGTAGACAAATTCCGGCAGCAATCCACCAAATGCAGCCAATGATAGCAACTACTCCTCCACGGGCCATTTCACAAAGTTCATTCTTGCAAACACGAGACGAAAGCCCGACAAGCAGTAGTAAACACATCACGGCGTTTCCGAAATGAATAACAATCAACGGAGGAAACCATTGCTGATCCAGACGTCGATACAATAGAAGTAGATTGAACAACATCGGCAAGAAGCAAGTCATAACTCCAAGAATTCCAATCGCTTTGCCAAATCTCCAAAGGCCGTCAAACAGACTACCAGTATTTTGCCAGGTCACGCAGATGTTGCCATCCCCTTCCTCCCCATTTGAAATCGCAAAACCAGTGCTTTCGCGGACCCAGTATCCAATATAGATCTCGTGATAAGCAGATCTTGCAATAGAAAAAGAACAGCCAAAAGCTGCGGAGCAAAAGAAAATTGTCCCAAAAATACTCAGGATTGGAATAATGTAAGAAAGATGGCCGTATGGACAGATAATGTAGTCACTGAAAATAAGAGTCGTCGAGCGATTGAGAGAGTTAGAGACTGTGTTGAAATTTTCAATAATTTAACAATAACAACCAGCGCATTCGAAAGCACTTACCCATACTCCCACGGTGGTGAGCCAATATGCCTCAATTTCTTGATATCCTCGAGGGTGATCTTTGGCATGTTGTCTGTTTGCACTGGGATACAGAATCTTTGATGCTGCCCCGGTCATAATTCGGTGCAGAGCTTTGCCGTACTGTACCTGGTACGGTACCGGTACTCGTACCGATTCTACCTTCAACTTCATCCTGGTAGGTGATTTCAGCCAATGATCGTTAGTCGGATCAATCAACCACCACAAATCACCGACAAAGGAAAGTCACTGCGGTACGTGTACGGTACCGGTATCAATACATATTAATACCGGTAGTAATAAAATAAAATAACTCTACAGTACCGGTACGATATACCTGTTTATTGCTGTGATGTGCAGTATTTAAAATAATTCCGATCTTTGGGAATTTCGAGGTTTGGGGTCAACCAATCTCTTGGCTATCGTATTATGTATCGTACTGTACCGGTAATCGTACCGGTATAATACATTATACTGTAATGTTGTATTTTACCATCGTAGTACATGTACTATCTCCATCAAGTTAGTATCTCACAAAACCATTTACACCTATCTCCACTACGGCCAGTTAATACTCATACGCTACTACTGGTAGCAGTTTCTTTTCATCATGTGTTACATCTTGTTCTCGTAAAACTGACCAGCCAGCATCATAGCATGGCACTGTCGCTGTATCTCATCACCAGGAAGCGCGCTGTAGTAGCGATGGATTCCCTATGACCACTTCTACTGGCTGCCCTAGAGCATTAGGTGATAGAATGATGAGAAACTGAAATTGCGTAGCACTAGAGTACATACGATGGTAGTACTGATATATTTTACTAACAAGAAGTGCCCACCCGTAACGTGACTGACTGGACTGCCGAGTCCCGAGCAGATGTATTAGAGCGATCGAAGGCCAACGGTCATCGCCGAATATTCAGCCCAAGATCAATCATTCATCATCTACTCACAGCTGCTTCAGACCCCCGTAAATACACCCCAATAGCAATATCAATCACCGTCTATCATGTCCAACAGTAGCTACATCAACGCACTAGTACGCTCTCTCTACGAGGAGAGCCAGGAGCACAACGTTAGCACGTTAAGTGGAAGCCAGCCC